TAAGATTTTCATGGCGAGTCATCAAAATTCGCCATGGCGCCACGGCCTCATACTATTGTGAAAACTCAAAAGCTCCGCAATTTAACATGGCACAAGGGTGTAGTTGACACTGTCCAAATTTGAAGGTTATGAAATGAAACCCCAAGGAGGAGTTCGTTAAAGTTCGAGGCATGGAAACGGTAAAATCAGAGCCAAAATGTCACCTTCAATCCAAAATGGCGGACTTCCTGTTGGGTTTAGGACATTGCCATAATAGACTTTTTTGTTCGACTCTGAACATTTTATAGGTGTACCGACTTTCAAACATGTAGGTCATACCCATATCGGGGGCTCGCGTTTTTCATTTTTCTAGGTGGCGCTACTGAGCTAATTTTCCCTGGCCATGTCTGAGAACATTAAAATACGTAAATTTTCACCAGACCTGACGCGTGCGCAAAATTTCATGAGTTTTCGAGCATGTTTAGGCCCTCAAAAGGCCGATTCATTTGCCGGAATAATAATAATAATAATAATAATTAAAGCTGCAAGCAGCGTTATGAGGGCCCTCGCACCCCCGGCGCGTCGAGCCACGCCCAACACCTAAAACCAGCACCTCCGATCTCATGTCACATTGATGGAATTCATGCATTTAACCACCAGCTAACATTTCAACTCATTCATTCATGATTTGTTAGTCGTTCCACTAGGTGGCGCTCTAACCATTATGTACAAATGGCATAACAAACACTTCCTAGCTCGAGTCTCATCACACCTGAGACGTTTGGGAGAGATTGGACATTGTGTTTTTGAGTGACAGCAGATTACTGCTTTTTGGCGAGTGATTCAAACTCTAAGTGCCGCCATAACCACCCCGTTTCCCTGGACGTAAAAAGCTTCGCAATTTAACATCACAAAGGTCTTTAGATTCCACAACTGCAGATCGGTCCAATATGATGAAATCCCTTGGAGGAGTTCGTCAAAGTACGGTGCCTGAAAAGATGGGAAAATGTTGCAAAATTGCACATTAATTTTAAAATGGCTGACTTCCTGTTGGATTTGGATATTGCTCCAAGAGACTTTTTTGTACATCTTGATATCTCTATAAGCTTACCAGGTTTCAGACTCATACATAAACACAGAGCTGGGGCTGTGGTTTTGAAATTTGTAGGGGGCGCTGTGGAGCCATTTCGCGCTATTCAATAAAATGATCACATGACAACAAAGCCTTCATCCATTTGGAGGGTGTGCTAAATTAAAGCCTCTATATACTATCCAAGCCCCTCAAAAGCCACTTCATCTTTCATGGTGGACCGCGTTGCCACCAGGGTGCGCCGTTCAGTTTAAAGTCACAATTTTTGCACTGAAGCATCACGAGGACTGATTTGATATTCACCGCTTTTGAGGTGGCCACGATGAACCTGTGAAAATCAGTACAACAAAGTGTAAGACATGACATTTCCTGTTGCCACTAGGTGGCGCTGTCCGTATTCCCGACAATGGGCACATCAATCTGTTCAGGGCTGGTCTGACATCATGCCTGTAAAGTCTGGTACTGAACAGACTGGATTTCATTGAGTTATACTAATTTGTTTCTTCATGGCGTGACATCAAAGTTCGCCATGCTGCTGGGTCACACCCTTTTCCGAAAAGTCACAGTTTTCACTGTAACCCAAGACCAACTCCTTAAGGTTTTTCTGGAGAAATTTGAGGCTGCAGATGTCACCCATCACTATACTGTACCCCAAAGTGTAAAACATGACATTTCCTGTTCCCACTAGGTGGCGCTGTCCTTGATGTCAAATATGGCAGTTGAAATATGTTCAGGGTGGAGCCTTATCATATGTGTGCTTTTGGTCCAGATCGAAATGTATGACAGAATGAGAGGCAATAAGATTTTCATGGCGAGTCATCGAAATTCGCCATGGCGCCACGGCCTCATAGTATTGTGAAAACTCAAAAGCTCCGCAATTTAACATGGCACAAGGGTGTAGTTGACACTGTCCAAATTTGAAGTTTATGAAAAATCCCAAGGAGGAGTTCGTAAAGTACGAGGCATGGAAACGGTAAAATCAGACCAAAATGTCACCTTCATTCCAAATGGCGGACTTCCTGTTGGGTTTGGACATTGCCAATAGACTTTTTTGTTCGTCTTGAACGTTATACATGGTGTACCGATTTCAAACATGTAGCTGAACCATGTGGGGGCTGCATTTCAATCTAGGTGGCGCTATGAGCTATTTCCCTGGCCATGTCTGAAACATTAAAATACTAAATTTTCACCAGACCTGACGCGTGTGCAAAATTTCATGAGTTTTTGAGCATGTTTAGGCCCTCAAAGGCCTTGTTTGCGGTAATAATAATAATAATAATAATAATAATAAATAATAATAATAATAATAATAAACGGAGCAATTACAATAGGGCCTTCGCACTGTCAGTGCTCGGGCCCTAATAAGAAACAGAGCAATTACAATAGGGCCTTCGCACTCTCAGTGCTCGGGCCCTAATAATAATAATAATAAGAAACGGAGCAGATACAATAGGGCCTTCGCACTGTCAGTGCTCGGGCCCTAATAATAATAATAATAATAATAATAATAATAATAATAATAATAATAATAATAATAATAAGAAACGGAGCAGATACAATAGGGCCTTCGCACTCTCGGTGCTCGGGCCCTAATAATAATAAGAAACGGAGCAGATACAATAGGGCCTTCGCACTCTCGGTGCTCGGGCCCTAATTAAATTATTATAATAGCATGCTGGGAGTGCATGTATATCATACAGCTTGATAGTTGGTGATTGGTGGTTTCCTTTAAGGAGGATACTTACCATGCAAATTAGTGATACTAGCTGTCATTTAAACTACACTATATATATATATATATATATATTTTTTTTTTTTTAGAAAGGACTGACTGTGACCACAGTTCACCATGCCATCCACAAATCTATCATTCATTACATATTTCATCAATAAAGTGCTAAACAGCCTGCTGCATATATTACAGTAGTGTAGATTGTAGTTGAAGAACTAGCCTTACCAACTACTGCCAACTACTAAAAAGAATTTCATGTATCATGAAACAATGAATGAAAAAGAAAGATGACACAGGACTGTTGAGCAGCTAGAATCCTACACCTGGTGAAAATGGGAGAACACTGCTCTTTAAAAGGTCTAGAAACTAATTTCCTCAGAATCCAGATGTTTATGGACTGTTGTTAAAAGAAGAGGTGGGGCTACGTAGTGGTAAACATGGAGATGCGTACGTTTTCTCAGTTTATAAATTTAATGTTTTCTTTTGAATAAACTATAAGCTTTTGAGATTTGTGAATGATTACTATACGTCTTAACATTTTCAGAATTTGTCATTTGTAATTTAAAAGGTATACTGAGTTGTGCTCTACTACTATCAAAAGTTCAAAGCTTTTCCTACTTTCTAACCAACATTTAAATGTAGGTGTGTAAAAATGTGTTTTTGATGTCTCAAATGAAAAAGAATATTCTACTTATCAAATACACAATTTCGTTTTCAGCAGGTACCTTTAAATCATGCCAATTTCAAAACTCTCTGACCCTACCCATAGCCAGAGGGTGTTGACCTACAATCTCCTTGTCTGAAGATTTCTAAACAGCTCTAATCCATGTACCAATCCAACAATCTTTGGAATTCCACTTGACCACTTAATGATAAATGATTTTGTTCATTCAGTCTGACCTTGATAACTTAAGGTAAAGGTTTTCCACTGAAGGCCTGATAGGAGGTCAACGGTTGCTTTGTGTGTTTGAGTAAGTATAACTCAGGCACGATGGAGGTATTTGTTCAAAAATGACCAAAGGTTTTATTGACATTAAGAAGTACCATACTCCAATCTGTGTAAGGTAGGTAAAAACAAGCATGTACTCAAACACGGGTCATCCATGACTAAAGGCTGGCAACTGGAAAAAGAGAATGCATTGAAACATTCAGAGTATTGCCAACACCAAATGCTGGATATTAATAAAGGCTTTAAAGCAAGACCTGGTAGCAATATTAAGACATACTTTTGCACTTTTTCTCAACGGGTTATTATCTGTGGGTAAACTTCATTTCTTATTCATTTAAAAATTGCAAAATGTGAACATGTCTAAATACCTTCTACAGAAACCTTTTGTGAAACATTTAAACTATAACTAACATGTGCATAATTAACTCGTTCAAAATGTTCTCGTTCTCTTAACTGGGACTAGTAGGTTTGAGTCTATTACTCCAGTTCTTTCCGACCTGCACTGGCTCCCCATTAAATATCATATTGATTTTAAAATCGTATTGCTCGCTTTTAAAATCATAAATAATACCGCACCCAGCTGTCTTACTGATCTCCTCAGCTTAGATCAGCAGGCCAAATGCTCCTGGTGCGACCTAGATCTCGGCTTAAGACCAGAGGTGACTGTGCATTAGCCTCTGTTACACCCTACCTCTGGAATAATCTCCCTCAAGCTATTTGCGCGTCTGATTCAACTAAATCTTTTAAATCTCAATTAAAAAGTTATTTATTTAGCCTATCCTTCCCGGCTTCCTAGAGCTCGCATTTGTAAGTGTGCTGTAATTTATCTTTTTGCTCTGATTAATGTATATAATGATTTCATTTCATTTCATTGCCTTTTGGCTTGTGTCTACTGTATTCTTGGTTAGTTATGTCTCCCTCCTGTCAATATATTTGTATCTTTTATTGCTTTTATTTGATTCTGTGAAGCACTTTGGCATACCTCTGGTTTTTAAATGTGCTATATAAATAAAATTGTATTGTATAATTTTTAAAAAATACACTGAGACAAATGGGTAGGAATCGTGATGAAGTTTATTATGGAGTTTTTACATTCAAGAAAACAGAGAATACATGCCTTCATAATAGCAAATCATTCACTTTATTTGATATAAAACTTATTCAGCATTTACTTTATATAAGGAACAACATTTTAATACATTTAGTTTTCATGTGACAGTCTAATGGATAATTCTTTCTTTCATCTGAGTTTTATTTTTCAGCTTGAGCCGGAAGATCTACAAGCACAGCTGGTGATGTGCTTGTAGTAGTATTGTCTCGTACTGAGGTCAGAGCAAAGCAGAGTCACGGGCCTCCTCTCTGATATCCAGTCCAGACAGCATGTGTTGCGCTGCTCCAACAGGTCACCATGTAACTCCACCCTGTTGCAGAGGAGAATGGGAGTGGGTGAAAGTGGGATAGAAGAGAGAAACAAAAAATCTAAATTTCAGAAAAATATCCAAAGTTCGCACAGAATTCATACAACGAATCTAGATGAACTTTTCTTTGGTTAGTGATTATGAAGTGAATAACAAGGGCCTCAAATGCATTAATTTGCATCATCACTATTGCTCATCTCACCTTGGCTGAGATTCACATTTCCCCTGACACACAGGCATCTGCATGACAGTGGTGCAGTTATCTACGGTGATGTTGAGGGTGGACATCCTAGCAGCACAGCCCTGGTTACCTGAAGTTTGAAGTAACAAAGTAGAGGTGGAACAATGTAAAGAGTGTGAAATTAAAATAAATAAATTATAGCTTTCATTTCTATGTGAAATGTTAGATTTAGGGTCTGACTTACATGTAAAGCAGCAGTGTTGGTCATCCCAGATTCTGTCCTCCTAGAGAAAAAGCCCCACAAGTTGTAGACTTTAATTCTTGCGCTTGTTCACACAGTATTTAATTGTAGTTTCTAAGCATCTTTTAAGGGTAAGTCTTTCTTTCTCACAGTGCTTGTTCTGACAGTGTTCTTCTATTGTTATTATGTGACATTTAAATATTGAATATAAATAAATTCTAACACTTTAGCTTTGAAAAGCTCTGCAAATAAATGTAAGTACTGTGTAAAGCTTCACCGATATGAGCTTATTATTGTAGAAAATCAATCTAAGATTTTACAGTTTACTTGAACATTTTTACCTCAGAGCAGCTTTCATTGGAGCAGACTTTGGTCTCAGTCTGAATGCCGTCTTTACTGCACTTCAGTGACCTGCAGGGATGGGCAGGATCTGTCCACTGATCTCCCACCTACATGCACAAAGAACATTTTTAATTTAAAATGAAGAATCAGACAATGGTTGACAATGATTAACAATTTCAATCAATTTAGTACAAAGAGACATTACAATAAAATTCAATGCAGCATACCTTGTATAGCTTCTCATTATAACTGCAGGTCTTGTCAACTGAAAAAAAAGACACGTTTTTGTGTGTGTGTTTGACTTTGCTATGTTTTTAACAGCAGACATTTTGATATGAAACACAAGTGTTATTAAGGTTTAACCTAACATTAGTTAATGTGATTTGCAATAAATGTGTGTGCCTAATATTTCATGTCAAAATGTTTCCTAAATGATTAATTAATTAAGAAGAGGCCACTTTAGGCTTCTCCCTCGATACAAGGGGTCACCACAGCAGGTAGCTGCGTTTGAGTTTATGCTGGATGCCCAAATGGGATTTGTGGATGTGAACTACAAACCTTTTACATTCAAATGCATAAATCATTACAATATGGAGCCACCTATTAAACAAATCACCCAAACAAACAAATTAAAAAAACAACAACAAGTAACTGACTCTTCAAATATATTCTGGGTCACTAACAACATCAAAGATGCAGCTTCACACAACTAAAATATATCTGCTAATAGATATAAGGTGTTGTTCTACATGTATTTGTGTATTTGTTACTTGCTCTTCTGCGATGCATTATCACATAATTGCCAGTTGAGATTTGGAAGTATGAACATGTATGCCAAGATATCAGCAGGAATCTCTTATCTCGCATATATGATATTTTTGAAGCATTACCAACAACAAAGTTTGTGAAAACTACTCCAGAACTACTTCTTAATGAATGATGATAGCGATAGGTATGGAAACTGGTATTGGCGGAATCATTCTACCATGCCTATTTTTTAAAACTTTTTGCTGGTAAACTGGTAAAAATGAAGCTTTGGCTTCTAGTTTGGAGTAATCATTGCTGAGAACTAGAGATCACACTTGTTGAGATTAGACTGTATCTAGAGTCAGGGTTAGTTTGTCTATGCCAATTTTTCCCTTTCACTGTCATATTTTCATCATTTTGTGCAACAAATTCCAACTAATTAAAAGCTGAATATTGTGCTGACATTTTGTCCTTGCTTGGAGATAATTTAAATAAAATGGCAATTTATGAAAAAAATAAAAATTTTCAGTCCTGTTTGACCTTATAGTTATGGAATATAATAATTAATTGTTTGTTTTGTGGGGAGGTTTGCAATCATACACTGCAAAATCTCCAGTGTTAAATTGACACTAGAAAGTGTCTATATGTGTCCACTCTTTTGAGTGTTAAATTAACACTTTTGACAGTGTTATATTTCTAACAGGAAGCTAGTCAGTGTTGAAGATTAACAATGACTAACACTGAGCAGTGCTGATTTGCTATCATTTGCAGTGTACTTCAAATATAACTTCCAAATTGAGTGTACAGGAAAGGAAAATACCTGGAGGTTAGACAATGTTAAGTTCATAATATACCCAACCCCTGAAAAGTAAGTTTACTTACCAGGTAATATTGGAAAATATTGTTTGTCTTTCTACAAAATTACCAAAAAATTATGCAGTGCTTTAAATTACTTATGAAGTACTTAAATTGACTTATAATACAATCATTTGTTTTCTGTAAAAATCTGATTTGTTACCCTCTTGTTCCACTTTACCTACTTTTAAGTATTTGTACTTTATTTAAATATATTGTCATTTATTTTAAATACATTGAAAATCTGATTAATTACAAGTGAATTGCACCTTTAATCATGGGCCATATTAAAGATTGTTACCCAACATACTTATTTGATAAGTACGGCTAATGTGATTACCAATTTTAGGAACAGCGCATTACCTTACTTTGTTACAAATACATTTGACTAAAGCACATGTCATTACGCAAAAAAAAAAAAAAAATACAGAAATTCTATAATTCTAAAAGATACTGAAAACTTTAAAAAATCAATCATTAACTGAACTAGAAAATATGAAACACCTTTACTTACCACAAATCGCATCACCACAGCAGGAAGTGTTTATCAAAACTGCATTGGGGCCACAGAGGGGAGCTGGCTTAGGAGGTGGTGGAAAGCACTCTTCAGTCATAGTCTGGTTGTTACATCTACACAGTTTGCAGTTGGACTGCCAGACTTCACCAGGCTGAAACACACATACAGAAATATTTGTAAATCTACACTCAGATCTAATACTAATACGCTTAAATTATTTGAGCTAAACTGTTGATTACAGAATGTGTCACATAACAGCAGCATCCCTGTGGAAATTTGTAGCTTTTACTTACAAGTTTAGGTTCTCCACTTGGTCCTTTGCAATCTTTAGGGAAAAAAGAAAGAAAATCCTTTATTTATCTTCCTGTAAAAGACTTCAAACAAAAATTGTCTAGGTGTCATTGTCATCATCTTAGGCTATACAACTTACAGGAACAAACAGGCAAACAGATGTTTGAGTGATTTCCTGCTCTGGTCAGGTTGCTGGGACAGAAACAACCTGTGCTTTTTTTTTCAAGCAAAGCTCCTGGATAGCGCACGCTAAAAAGCCGGAGAAAAGCATGAAAATGGTGTAAATCTTCAGAATAGTATATGAAGGAAAAACATGTGGAAATTACAAGGTGCAATCAGAAAACAGCTTCCCCAATAAAAATCGAAACATATCTAATTTCAGATATGGGATGGCCAACAAACACATTGTTTCAATGCACCAGACGTGAAGCTGCCAGACACACCAAATTTCATAAGGTATCCCTTAAATGAGATTCCTCAGAAAATTATAGTAAAACTCAGCCTTGAAAATCTTACGTTGATTAAATTCATGGTGCGAAACTCCACTGATTGTCAAACAAGACAGTGAGGTCACATTCAGAACCCAGTGCATTCAAGCATTTACACTCTGGACTCTTAAAAAGTGCTGTTTGGCTCCTTGACATAAAGGTTATTCCAGTTTGACACAGAAGTTGATGCAAGTGGTAAAACTAGTCTAAACCTAGCCTCCCAGGAGGCTTTCCTAATGTGCCTTGGAGAAGACCACAAAGAGATCAGTCTTATATGACCAAGCTGATTAACTTTTTATCTGCATCACACCAAAAGTAAAGTTTCCTAACCCTCCATAGCAGAAGTCATCCAACTTTGTGCTGCATTCTCTGTAAACCAATCCTTCTGGACATGGCACATCTGAAACACGATCAAGGACACTGACGTTAATAATACATCAATTTAAATTAGAACTTGCAAAGAAAGCAAATTTATTCATAAATCACTTAATTTCTAGCTTTACTGGTTTGCCATGTTAATTGTAAGACCAAAAAAAGACGATGCATACCACAGGTTCCATTAGTCAGTCCTCTCCAGTCAATACAGAAACCAAAGCTTTTACATTCTCCTGCAGCTTGCTCCAGAGATGAGCAAGAACCATTTAGGTTCCTGCATGAATCAAACTCACAGTTCTTCTTTTTAAGGTTTAGATCCACGTAGTTGCTGCAGTTTTCAAAGACACTGGAGAAATTGAAACAAAGTGAATTTAAGAATATTTGCTGAAATTATACACAAAGAGACAGAGAGCCACACACTATTACAATTAATAATCAAAATAAAGCAGTATATAACATGTAGATTTATCATGAAGTACACTTGAAGCAGTTTTAACACAACAAATCCATGATTAGTAGGCTACATTCATGTGTGGACCTTACGGGTGGAGTAGAAGTTCACATAATGGGTTTGGAGGGCAGGGAGGCGGAGGTGGGGGAGGAGGTACTGAGGTTGGCCCAGGAAGACAGGGTACATCCCTTGGTGCAGAATTACAGGCAGGCTTCAGAGGATCTGGATACACCCAGTCATAGGCCGTCTTATCACAGCAGCTGTCATCCTCAATCTGCCCTCCTTTACGAATACACGATGCTCCACCACACACACCTGGAGGGAGAATTGATAAGTGAGCTCTGATAAGCTTATACTTCTAACACACTTCTAGCACTCCATCCAGTACTCACCGCATTGTCCCTGGGTGTTATTGACGAAATGCTCCATGGCCAGGTTCACAACCAGGGTATAGGATGGAGTGAGGGAGACATAAGAACGAATCTCTGGGAGATGAATTGACACCATGTACCCCGTGGTCTCAAATCTGAAACCATTCTCCTCATATGGTGGTTGGACTGTCACATTGTTCAGTGTAGCCTAAAGTATAATAACATTATCATCAAAATTAGCTGTCTTTCCAGTGAGTATTCTCAGTTACAAACTGCTGTATAATTACTGAATATGGATGCATGATGAAATCCTACCTGTACTACAAACAATTGTGTGTTGATGTTGAGCGCAGCTACATTGTTTTGATATTTCAGAATGAGTCCTTTGGCACAGGAGCCTTGCAGGCCCGGCACGCAATAAAAGTTGTCCACAGCAATGGTCAGATTATGACGTGGTGACTGCTCCTCCACCAAGACGTAGGAGCACTGATCCAAGAAATCAAAGGGTATTCCTTGGAAAGAAACATAGTGGGGATCCCCAAACAGCTCACAGTGACCTGGGAATGGATAAAAACACAATTTGGATTTCAGCTAAAAATAAGAATCTGTCAAAATGCCAACCTGAGCCAGCTGCACAACTCTAATAATGACATTCTGGGTTAGTCAGTCAGTGGTATGGTCACTTACAGTCACATTTCCATGTTTCACAGCATCCATCCGAGACCTTTACGGCCCGTTCTCTGGGACAGGGCAGAGCTGTAGACTTTGGGCAAACCACTGGGGTCAACTCTATCTTTCCACCAACACAGTGCTTATCAAAGCAGTCCTCTGACCATGTCTCCCCACAAATCCAGCTTTTTTTACTCTTCAGGTCTACACATCTACAGACTGGTGCTGTGGCAGAAAACAGGGAACACAAAAATACAGAAACATTGATTAGGTTATTCTCGTGAATGACTACTATGATCATAAATGAAAATGTCTAGCTGGTAGTTAGTTAGGTGGTTGTAGACATAGTAAATATTGTGGGAGCTTCTGTGCTGGTAGCAGTCATACCTGACGTTACAGTAGTTGTTGCATTGGTTGCAAACGTGCTTGTTGGCCGAAGTGTTCCAAATGTTGTGGGAAATACTGCCAGAGATATAATATCGTTTAGGTTACTCACATAAACGACTGCTATGATGATGAATGAACAGTGCAAAACAGATACATAACATTTACCTTGGGAGTTGTTCTGAGGTGGTGTTGTTGTGATTGGGGGTCCTGTATTAATTTCGGGTGTGGATTCTGTATTAATAGATGAAAATGTTGTGGTGCCTACTGAAGTGCTATGGTTTCCCATTGTTGTAGCACCTGTTTCTGTTATTTCTGTTTGTCCAGATGTTGTCACAGTATTAGTTATCAGTGGCGACGTAGATTTAGATGTTGTTGATTCAGAGTGGGAGGTAGTAGGTTGGGTGGTTGTAGTAAATACAGTGGGAACTTCTGTGCTTATTGCTGTCAGACCTGAGGTTACAGCAGATGTAGAATTGGTTGCAAAGGTGCTGGTGGACTGAAGTGTAGTGACTGTTGGCTGCGTATGTTTTGTCGATGGTGGAGGTGTTGAGACATATGTTGATATAACTGTGTTTGTCGGCTCTGATTCTGTGGCCCGTGTTGTTGAAGCATTAAGGAATGAAGTACTTGTAGGTAGGTAAGAGGTTGAAAGTACTGTACTAGCAGATTCAGTGGGAGTCTCTGTTATAGACTCTGTTACTGTTGTAGGGTGTGTCGAGTGAGTTGCAGATGTTGAAAAAGTTGACAGTGATGTGGAGAGTGTGCTGATAGTAGCTGTAGTTGTGTTAGCTTCTGTAGGGGCTATTGAGGTAATGGTGGTAGGTAAAGTAGTTGTTGGTTTAGTGGTGTAAAATTCAAATGACCGATTGTTACCGGTCACTGGATCACTGGTAAAAGTCGCCATTGTTGTAGCAGTGGTGGTGGACCCTGTGGTTCCAGTTGTAGTTTTAGTAGTTGCTGCAGATGTAGTAGTGGGCATTGTTGACCATGTTTCGCTGGTACTTGAAGTAGTCGTAGTGTTTGGTTCAGAGGTGGTGGGGGACCATGTTACAGTAGTAGTTGAAGTAGCTGTAGTTGTTGGCACAGGAGTTGTTAATACAGCAGAAGTGGAGGGCATTGTTGACCATGTTTTACTAGTAGATGAAGTTAGTAGAGAGGTAGCAGTGGGTGTCGACCATGTTTCAGGGGTAGTTGAGACTGTGGTAGTGGTAATCACTGGTGTAATAGTAGTAGTAGTTGTTTCACTTGCAGTTGAAGCAGTTGTTTTGAGAGATGTTATTAGTGTGGTGGTAGTTGTGGGCGGAAGTGCTGTTGAATTAAAATTGATAATAAGTGCAATTATTAAAAGAAGGATCCATAAAAGCACATATTATTTAAAAATAATAATAAATTTCAATAATATTTCCTTGTATTCTCTATCATTACATTACATATGTTTGCCTTCACTAACGTTTTTTACCCATTATCACTCCCAACTCCTCACATGTAGACACAATTGATCCCATACACATCACATTTTAACATGCTGGGTATTACTTTGTATTTCAGCATAGAAGATAATTTGATAGATTTAAATAGTAGTCGCACAATGTCTGAAATAGAGACAAATTTTCTCTGCTGGTTTGTAATGTAATGTCACTCATGGTTACCAAGGAAATGGTGACAAATCTAGTTGAAGATGAAAATCCAAATTCTCTTTTCAAAATGTGGATAACATGTTTTTCTACAACTAGCCAAGTTATGTTGCTCCCTGTGCTTTTACTATCTCATAGCCCTGATTGGTCAGGAGTCCTGAACAAGCACCAATATGTTGTGAGTTAGAATTGAAAATGAATTGTTTTATCGGCCACGTATAGTACACACATTAATGTATTTTTTATACTTACGGCATTTAATTGTTCCATTTTCACAGGAGCTGAATAAAATAGGAGAGTAAGAAATAACCAGCCGTCAGTGTAACTAACAACACAACTTCATGACAATTGCATGGAAAATGTAGATATTTGCATGCCATATATATTGTGAATGTGTCAACTTACCATTCAAAAGAGTTTATTTTCACCACTTGTCCAGGTCGTACAGTCGTGTCATTAAAATAACAAGAGCAGTTCCTCAATGTGGTACAATCACCAGTATTCTCATCATAGTATGGCTTTTCCTTTGGACATCTGGGGTAGCAGCCTTTTCCAAAAAGTAAATATACTCAGTTGTTTGTGCAAGCTGAACTTTAACATGTTAGACTATAACTGAGAAACATTGGTTACCTTCCAGCTTCTGAGTGAAGTCTTTGCCACAGGTCAGAATCCTACCACAGGCTTCATAATGCCAGCTACACTGGCCCTTTTCATTGTAGTAGTCACAGTAGACGGCTAAGATGTAAATTATCACAGTTTATGTTTTGTTGTATTCAGTGTTTTGTAACCTTCAAAAAACATTGATCGCATCATGCAGATTGTTGTACATATCCTTTGATAGTGCCATATCTATTGTCGCTCATGAGTATATTGACAATAACTAAAATACAATAAAATAAAACTGAATTTAACATTAAGCAATGCAGGGTGTGTGTTGGCAAGAACTGAAGCACAGAAAAGAATTTATATAAGCTGGACTGATGATTGGCTGACGACATGCACACCTTATGTGGGGAAAAAGCTTAAAACTTACGGCACATATCAGGTGTCCTCCAATCTATGCAGACGTCCTGGTCACTGCAGGCCTCTGCATAAGCTGCCACAGCTGTGCAGAAACCCAGGAATTTCCCTTCAAACTCACAAGAGCAGGATTCCTGCACACAGGCATGGTAGTAGGGCTCTGGATCCACCTGAGGATCAGTAAACATCAGAGTTGGGAAGTACCTGACTGCAAGTTGTACTTCAATCACAACAAAAATGCAGATGTAATGTTTAACTTTTACCGGCATTAAAATCAGCACAAAAACTTTCATCATGTGGCTTTCCATGGTTGTTGTAATGTGTGGGTGGCTCAGAACCTTTATCCACAAAGTATATTATAAATTCTCGTGAAAAGTTTATGTGCATAATAACATGCCTTTTTAAGGGGCATGTTTTGGAACAAATTTCAATGCAACACCATCAAAGGCTGGATGTTGATGCCTTAAAGGTGTCGACAAGCTCCTTTTTGTTCACAGTTTGTTGATGTTGAGCATTGTTTTTTTAATTTGTGCTCCCTTTCATCTACTAGTTTTCATTGCCCTAAGCAGTGCTTCTGGATATCCATGTGCACCAAAGTGGTTTTCCTTGCTGCACCTAGAAATGCCTTTTAAGTCTAGGAACTCAAAAATTATTATAATGTTTGCATTACAATTGTTATCAAAAAGCTGTGGAGGAGGGTTTTAAGTTTAAAAACATTTGTTAGGAAAGTAAAAGCAAGAAATGTTATTACTTCAATAGGTTAATCAAATTATCTGCAATGCTTATTAAATTTAAAAGAGAAACTGTAATCTAATACATTTTGACAGCAACACTGGTATCAAATTTTCACCGTATACAAAATAAAAGTCCCAATCCTCTCTTTGCGACTCTGCTTAAAAAGTAGTTATTTTTAAGCAAGCACAAGCAACTTGTGTGCAATGTGAAGAACATACTTTCAAGTGACAGTCTTTGAAGGTGCCTCCTTTAAGGATCATACAGCGCCTCTGGGCCCAGGCCGAGCAGTAGGAATTGCGTTCACATGGAAATATCTCAGTGGTCACATCAGTACAAGGGGGAGTTGCTGCCTTCCAGCTGTTGCCAAAGGCCATTGGACTAGAAACCACTAAGAACAGAGTTTTGTTTTTAGTTTGAGTGTCACAGGTAAAGTGTTGGTGTCACTGCAAAGACACCACCCCTAGCAAAAAAGGAGAAAAAACTGACTGGTTTACCTGCTGAGCCACTTATCTGCAAGTCATTCAGCTCATTGGAGTCAAAATTCCCACAGAGGCCACACACTCTGTTCTGCAGGTGAGACGGTTTGAAAAAGAAAATGAGTATAAAAAGTACACAGTGGATATGTTATTAATTCAGTTCTGCATTTTTGAATTCTACTTCTCTCCTTTTCAAGCTTTATAGTGAGGATAACAGTATTCTACTACACAAGAATGGTCACGTTTAAAATCCTTCTTAGCATTTTTATTACTCACCCTCCAGTCTGGATGAAGTTCTACGGTGATCCGGGTGTGTTTGTCCCATATTAGAGTTAGACCTTTGCTGGGTACTGAGATTATGATATAGAGTCCCACTGTGTGTATTGTGTAAAGTGGATCTTGCTGCAAAGTCCAGCCTTTTTGGATTTGCTTGGTCACTCTCATGTCATTCAGGATAAGGGTGACTTTGCTCTGGAAGAGCAAGATAGAAGAACAAGATAAGGGATTATTTTACTGGTATATGGGCAGCTACCTCATAATGCACACCATTAATTCTGCAGCAAGTTATGTTCCATGATTCATGAACGACTTGAGTAAATAACCATCCTTTGACTGAGGTTGATCATTTCCAAGTAAGACAAAAAATACACTAATAAAAACTAGTATAACATGACCACCAAAAAAAGGTCAAGGAATATTTAGGGATAGAGCCACTTACCTGTAAGTCCAGTATGATGGAGCGTGAACAGGTGAGTGCCTCATCACAGCAGGGCACACTCTCCACTCGGAGAGAAAAGGTACCGTTTTGACTTCTGCAGTAATCCTGAAATCGAAAAGCATGGTTAAAACTTCCTTATTATATATCAAAAATCATGCATTTTGTTGTAGTTATGAACAAATGGTTACCACCATGACTGAAAGTCAACAGCTACAGTTTTTGTAATAGAGAGATAGATAGAGAGAGAGAGAGAGAGAGAGACCTGGACTTTGTGAAAGTGTATGACTTATATCTCCTACATCATGAATCTGCAACTTTAAAAATAGAATTTACATATCTACATTATATATAAATTTTATATCATGCATGTGAACACATTCATGTTTTGTGATTTTTCTGGCTCTCACCTCTACAAGTGTATACTGGCAGTGACCACCAAAGCGATACCATTTAGCGTCAAAGGTCTGATAATGTCCATTTCCATAGACTTGACATGTCCCGGGACACGGCTCATCTGTGCAGTCCCACTGACCCTGACCACAGACACTGCAAGATAAAGTCATAACACTGAGTTTACAGAAAAACAAAACTTTGCGACTGAACCGGTAAAGTAGCGTTACCATTTTTTACAGTTGGTTTTAACAGTCTCTCCTGCCCTGAAGACTTTACCACTGTAGACACAGGTGCAGTTGTCCCTTGATACACAGTTTCCATGGTGATCTTCATATTGATCATGAGGACAATAACAGCCACTCTCACAAGTCACACTGGCAACCTGAAAATCACACCAACCTGAAAATTACACCTTTGTGAGGAGCAAAAGTGTTTATTCTAATAACTAGTCACCCTTTAAAAAAAAAAAAACAACTAAAGATGAAGCCACATTTACATACAAATGGTAATAATTATAAATATACATACCAGTGGTTTGCTGAGACTGTCGCAAGTTTTCTGAGCTGTGTTAACTGGGTATTCTGAGCAGTGCACGCACACCTTTCCATTCCTGCAGCCTGATGCGAACAAATTCATGTATTAAATATATTTCTGAAAGTTTGATATAATAATATGTTTACTGCCGTGACTCTTGCTCATATAGCAATGTATGTCTAGTACAAAAATATAATATATTTACCACAGTCCTTGGAGCACTGCAGTTCTCCATTCTTACAGTTGCTTTTGAAAACACAACATAAGATTAATAAAACTGGAACCATTGTATTTATCATACACCATCAGTTTCATGCTAATACAAAATGTATTTGATCAATTTGAAATTCCTTAAAAAAATCTTTAATGATCAACTCACCACTGTCGTCCATCGATAACAACAGGCCCTGGTGGCGTTATACCGCCGTGATGATGGCATACACATTCAGTCTTTGGTGTACAGATTTGTCCTTGGTTCAGGTGGGTTCCTTCTGGGCAGCCACAGCCCTCCACGGGAGCGTCTTCCTGCCCACAGCGAGGATCAGGAGCAGACAGGGAGCGGCATGTATGGTTGCAAGCTCGCACATTGTAGGAGAACTCTTGGTTCTTTTCACATGTCAGTGCTGTGACAAAAATATTTTGATTCACATTTAATAATCTGCTTATACAATGCATCCTGCAAAAACAAGGCAGAAACTGCCTACATAAGACTATAAGTCGTGTGCAGTAAAAGGAAAACATATTTGCATTTTTAAATGCTTACAGCAGTTGGTAGCCTTCCTCCAGTCACCAAGTTCAACTCCAAGACTGGCACATGCTTTGGCATAGTTGCCCAGAGCAACACACAAGCACTGGACCAAATTGGTACCACAGTTACAAGTTCTTAGGATGCAAGCCTGTAAAAATATAGTCGAAGAGTGGAGTAGAAATATATGCACCGGGGTAATGAGTCAAACAAAAATGTATGCATCTGTATGATCAACATGTTCGCCTTAAACTGGTTTAATTTTATATGCATAATGCAGGTTTAAGTTTTCAACTTGTTATAAAGTTATAAATCAATATGTCAGCACGAGTTAGCTTCAGCAGTTTCTTCAGATTTGGTTGAGTAGTAAAACAATCTTACCGTATGGAACTGATCAGTTGGGATGTAGCCATGGCACTTTGCAAATATCCCAGCTGGGTTGTTCAAGACCGAACACTTTTCATCAGCAAATATTTCTGCAGAAATACATCAAATGCTAAAATAAGTAATGATTTTGCAAAACAATTTAGTATAAAACAGTTTTCTGTGTGTTAAAGACAAAATATAAAAGCATCTTCTCATCTGTGAATTTATAGGACAGTCTACTTTATATGACTGATTGATACCGTTGTCGGTATTAATGCAGGTTGGCGGTATGTTCGGTGTACAACGGCCCACGCTCCAGGACAGCGCAAAAGGTTCAGGTGAGTTCTCGATGATCCCGCTGCTGCTGGTGAAGTCATCTGTGGTGTCCTTGTTGTTGTTGCCACAGAGACCTGAAAGACAGACTTATTATTTTGTCTCAGATTTTTAGAACATTTCCTGCTCGGCAGCCTCCAGTTTGCATAAATACATTTTTATGGTAGAAAATTTGAACATTTATAATGTTTGCTGTGAAAACTGCACATATTTAACAACTTGTAATTTAAGTGCCAATTTCTAGAATTCTGTTATATTTGGGTTTTTGTGGTACGGCTTGAGAATTTAAGTGAAAATAGCATTTTCTTTACTTTTGTGACTGAGAATTAAAAAGTATTCTGTATGTCAAAATTTCTGCTGTGAAATCTTTACACAAATTGGAAGAACTGAGCAGAAGGCTTGGTTGTTTCAAGACAGAATAAAATGCTTGTTAAGCTACAGAACTAGAACATTTTTCTGTTTTACCAATAATTTGACAGTTCATAAAATAAATCATGATAAAAGTAATTCCAGGTTTAGTGTGTATTTGTAGACTAATGTACTAACCTGAAATCGTGCCTGTGTGTTTTCCTGGTGGTGTAATGTAAAGTTGGATTTCAGGAGACACCTGGACTTGGATCTTCATACCAAAGGATGTATGGACTTCAACATACATAGAGGACTGCCAGAAAACCAGGGCATGATCTAAAAAGTGAGAGAAATTAGTAAGAGATTTGGTGTTTATGTATCGAAACCATTCAGTATATATTATGAGGCTAGCAGACTAACTAGCATTCTTTTACCTACCAGACTGATGAAGTTCAGTAATTTCTTGGTCTTCAAATTTAACCATGCTGCGTGTGAATGTGTACATTTCCTGCAAATTCCAAATGATGTGCATAATCAGGCTCATTTTTCCTCACTATTAATTGATTTGATAGTTTGTATAGTGTGTGGGATATATACCTGGAAAATCTGGAGAACGACTGTTTGTATAGATGCATGCTTCCCAGAAAATCCAACATTTATTGTCCAGTTTAAGCCCTGCATGTGGTCATGAAAACAACATAGCATCACAATCATGCACAGTCGTCCTAATGTCACATATTTGTGCTGTAGGCTGTGTGTTTACCTGTGAGGCCACATATGTGCATTTACCAGGAACAACATATTTTTTGCCATCGAATGTTGTTACAAATTGCCCTTCAATGTCACATCTGCCTAGGCAGGAATTCTCTGAGCAATTCCATCCTCCACCATCACATATACTAAGGACAAAAGTTTAAAATGTGTTTTAAAAACTTCTAAACACTTTTATGATTCTAAAGTTAAGGGTTTTTATGTATTAAAATTCCAGTATCATTTTATTTTATTTTTTGGCCACTTACCATGCCTGACACTTAGTGTTACGTCTGTCTCCAGTTAAGTAAGTCCTACCAGAGAAGACACAGGGGCAGCTAGGCACACTCACGCAGCGGAAGTCTTCTGCGTGATCATCAAGCACCTTACCTACAATATAATTCAGTAAATTTTTGATGATGAGTTCTGATTAGTTTCATGTGACTTACCAAGGCAAAAAACAAAATACAGTTCATAGTATTCACCCTTTGGACAGACACAAGTGCTGGTGATAGCCTGGCTGGAAAAGCTGGGGTTAGGGTTGGAGCAGCTGGGAATAAATGCATTACCCTCTTCTTTATAAACCAGGTCTCCAGGACACGTCGGCTCAGCTGCATTCATAAAAACAGAAAGGTAAATCCATCATGAAACTAAATGAAATGTCAGTTAGAATTCATCCTTTATCCGTAAAAGCTTAAAAATCCATAAACAAACAACTTTGCGACTACTATTATGAAGCTTTTAACCCTCTTTAAGACTTTAAGAATGATGATAAATGATCACCTACCACATTTGGTTATAGCTCTCCATTTCTGCCACACATAGCTTTTGTTTCCACAGTGCAGGGCAATCTCTTTGAAGAAAGCACAGCGAACGTATTTGCTGTTTTCAAAGCTGTAAATGTTCTCTTCACAGAGTTGGATATAAAATGGTGTTTTAACTTGCAGACACTCCATAGTGTAAGAAAAGAACTCTCTGCATACCTGCAAATATCATTGGAGGAACATTAACATTTTAGACTAACATCTTTTGTACGGCAACATTTATACAATATGATTATATAACTGATCGATTCCTGAAAACATGAAAACAAAAACAAACGAATAAAGAAAAGTGAATTTAAACTATGAAAATGATTGAAAAAAAAACTATTGTAACATCAGCTTACTTGGTTAGTGACAAAGACAGGATCTCGCGTTTGACACGTTTCCTGGGTAAGCTTGCTCTCTGTTATCAGCTGCTGCTTGTTGCCTGTTTTCACAAATAAAATGTGCATTCAACTTTGAACAAAATATGCAAAAACAAATGTTTTATATTCCTAGAGATTGTATTTATCTTTTTTCATGAAAGTATGATACATAGAATTTTTAGAGCAACATACTGTGCTGGAAGAAACGGATGACAGCAGTTAGGTAGGGTCTTGTGCATGTCAGTAAATTAATACCAAATTACTTTCTGTACCAACTACAACATTGCTGCAGACTGAAACAGCCAGAGTGCTGGCCAGACTAGAGCCCAGAACACTGAACAAACAAGTGCATATGGCAACAAAGGCCCAAAGTTGAGCAACTGAAAACTACTTAAAGCAAGAATGAGAAAGTATTTCACTTTTAGAAGTTTTCTTCTTTTTCTTCTTTTGAAATGGCCTTCCCAAAGACTCAACCTCAATCCGACTGAATATGTCTGGACTATGCTTAAAAGTCCATACCAGGAAACCAGAGACGAGGTTGTATAATGTATGTAAAACTGTCCTAATTTTCCTCTTATTTACATCTAGCATAACCGATACTATATATTAATTATAATTACTATTGAATTAAGGCCTATATTAACCGCTATTTCAATTATTTCTGCTACCACCAACATTACCATACCAGCTTTATTTATAAAGCACTTAAACATAAAACCAGGGTTCACAAAGATCTGTACATATACAAATAGCATAAACAAACACACAAACAAACAAAGAAATACATAAATAAATAAATAAATAAATAAATAAATAAATAAATAATAAATGAAATCAAACATGTTAAAATAAATTGAGTCAACCTCTTAAAAGAGTGCCAAAGGCTTCAGCAAATAAATATGTTTTAAGAAGCGTAGCTTTATTAAGATGGGCTTTGTTTTGACTAATTGCCTCAAAGGACAAAAGCTAGATAGATCTTACACAGCTCTGACCTGGCTTTCAAGTTTAAGATCTGCCTTCATTTTAACTCCCGGATTAGTGATGATTGGTTTAACATACTGTGCCAGGGAACCAAGATCCGTTTAGTGGTCTCAGAAGTGCCACAAAAAAACCATCACTACTGTTTTATGCTCAATAAAATGCAAAAAGTTCAAAGCCATCCAGGCCCTTATTTCATCAAGACATTTAAGCAAAGGGTCTACAGAGAAACCATTTATCTTTTTAGGAGGGAAATAAATCTGCGAGTCATCGGCATAACAGTGGAAAGAAATCCCATGTTTCCTGAAAATAGAGCCAAGGGGTAGGAGATATAGGGAGAAAAGAAGGAGGCCTAAAACTGACCCCTGTGGTATCCCACATTGAAGAGAAGCAGCAGAGGACACAAACTCCCCAAGTTTCAAAGAGAAAGTTCGCTTTGCCAAATAGGATCTGAACCACTGCAGTACAGCACTCATAACACTGCTCCAAACGGGAAATTAACATTTATGATCCACTGTATCAAAACCAGCCGTTAAATCTAAAAGCACGATAATAAACCACAGTCACCTGAGTCAGTTGCTAAAGACAAATCATTAAAAACTCTTAAAAGGGAAGATTCAGTAGTATGTAAAGCTTTAAAACCAGCCTTTTCTTCACTTGTGTACAATATTGTGCTGTTGCTTATGTTATTAGACTTATACTACAGCTATTAGTTGTTAGTTTATTTGTGCTGTAGGTGACATACTTGTTACGTTGTGTTTTCCACACAGTCCAGTCATGTCAGTGCTCAGCTCTTGCTGCAGCTCCACCTGAACAGCAAATCACATAGAAGCTTCAGGAATTCTTCTTAGGGATTTATAGATTCTGTACATTTGACTTTGTTTAGGCTTTCATACATTATGTATCCTCTTACCCACAAACTGTCTATTCCTCCAGGTACACTATGCCAGGTGACAGAAAGTGGAAGCAATGAGCTCCTCAGTCTAGTGTAGATGCCGTACTGAAAAATATGCTGGTAGGTGTGATCGTATGGAAGGGAGACACTGTAAGAAAATACACAAGGGACACCTGCTCAGAAATGATCGGAGGTCTCACTTCTTCAGTTTTGGAAAATAAGTGAAAAACAGGAAATAATAATACAAAACAGCCTTTGCAGAGAGTGAGAGTATCTAGCGAATAGAATATCGTGTGTTTTTTCATTAAACTCAACCACAAAGACAAACACTTAATAATGCACAGTGTCCCAGGGCCAGCACTAATAATGAACTAGCACTGATGGTAGAAGTGCTGAAATACCTGCGAGCATGATCGGCTTGGTTAGGTGGTTGAGTATGAGTGACATTTGAGTTAATGAACTAAAGTGTCTTTGGACAAAACACTTTGCTGGTGCCTCACATGCTTACGCTAACTGATGTTCTGGAGCCAAAAAATGAGTAATTTAAGATCAGATGTTAAGAAACAAGGATCAGATTGTGTCTCGTGCAAATGGTATTAGGTTTCAAAGTCAAGCAGTTTTCTTCAAATGAAGCACTAACTTAGTGGATCCATATTTGAGGACAAACCTTTTCTTCTCCACCAGGATGCTTCCATTCTGCAGAACAGTCCGGACTTTGTTCATTGTGATCTCGACTTGAACCAGCAGCCCACTGTCTCCTCGCCGTATGGTTATGTCGTATTCCACACGATTGTGGGTGAAGCGGGTGAGAGTGAACGGGCAATTGGACCTCACGTAGTAACCCAGGCCTTTGAAGGGCTGGACGACTCCACTGCCATACGTCCTGCAAGTAACTGATCATGGCAAAGTGAAGTTGCTTACAAATTTATCGTTCAGAGATGGACAAGGGACCAAGTAAAGTAATGAAGACTGTGTAATTACTGTAAAAAGGATTGACTCTCTAAAATTAAGTTATCAAGCGACGACACTGACTTATACTCACATTTCTGAGTTTCTTTTGTTGTCACTGATCCACCGGTCCCAAAAACTGAGAGGTAAGGAAAAAAGACAATGTAATAACACTTTAACAACAACATTCAATTACAAGGAAAACTCCTTGTAAATATGAAAATACAGTGCATCATACTGTAGACAGGACAGTATACATCAACATTTTTTCTGTAATGTTTTTCTAAGATAAGAAGGAAAACCATAGTAATGCATGAAATCAATATATAACAAATATTTACACTGCTTTGATTTGTTACTTATTCTGCTTAAAATAATTAATTAATATTCAAAATATATAAATAAATGCATGGTACCTGAGACCAGTAAAAAACAGACAGACAGCATCCGTTGCTGAGGGGTCATTTTCTTCTTTCTGTGCAAGTGCAACCAGGAGGATGTGCCCAACCACCCCACTCCGTCCCTTATATATGCAACGACCATACATACACACACACTGCATGAATCACCACCACCACAGGGATGTGTGAACTAACATGCACACACCTGCTTCTTTACCAGGAAACTAAAAAATTTCAAAGAAAATATGGTCATTATGTGATAACAAGGAAATTAATACACAATGCTGAAAAAACAGCTCATTTAAAGCATGCCATTATTCTATAATATAAGGTTACATCAAGAATTCAACAATTCCCTGTACTGATATATATTCCTGTGGGAAATTGCTAGTGTTGCGTATCAAAGAATTTGGCAAAGGAACCCAAAAAGCAATTGGTTCACAAACAAGCTAAAAAGCAGAAACTTAAGACTTTAGATCTTGTGTTTCCTTGTTGAGCAGGTGCCACAAATTAGAAGTGCACAAATCCGTGGGGTTTTTTTTTTTACATTTCCTAAACTGGAAACCGGTAATTTTGTCATGATTCATTCCTTCAGCAAAAAATAAGGTACTTATTACCTTTCTTAAATAATAGCAATATGTCAACTCCATCCTTAATAGGTGAGATATTAAGTATTGCATTATGTACAAAGAGGGATGCCTACTTTTGGCAAACTTCACCAGTGTTGAAGGTCAATACACGACAAACAGAATAGAATGAAAAGTGAGCGCTGGTAACTGATGAGAGTGCATGAACCAGGATGTAGTTAATTATTTTTCATTGCTAGATCGGAGGGAAAGCACCACAGAATCACAGAGATGTCCATCAGATCACGCATCAGATGACCTCAATAGGTCACGTAATAGGGTGAGGCAAGGTCCCACAGTGGTTTTAACCTGATACCTCTAGTGGTAATGACCCACACGTTTTTTCACTGCTTGGGTCATGTGGACTTAAAGAAGTCTAGTCACTTTCTTATCCCAGCAGGTAGAATGTGAAAGGCAGTGCACACTCTTAAAAGGTTGCCAGTGTTTTGCAGGGATGCAAAACTATTCAGTGGTAAATATATTTTTCTTTTAGTTACTTCCTGTTGTACTTAGTGAGTCAGTTAGAACTGCAGAAGTTGTTTGTTTTGGGGTTTTTTTTTGAATGTGCACTCTTCTCCATTAAGTGCTTTAGCCAAGTTAACATATGCACAGCATACTCATCACAGGTGGAACCAGGAACACTGACTAGCTTTGTTCCTTTGAAAACCAAACACAGCCACTACGTATTAGACCTGTGCTTTCATGTAATGACAAGTCACAATGCCTCATCTGCACATGATCCTGGAACTTGGTAATCTGGATTTAAATGTATTCTTGATTGCTTATAATTGCTGTTAATAACACCTCTGCTGTTTGCAGGTACCCAGGCCACTTGGCTTAAAAGGTTGTTCAAAATACTACGGTCTCTTTCCTGTTTTACTCTTTTTGAAAATTCTTCACACAAAGACTGGGGATAGAGTTCTCTTCATTCTTTCCTTTTGTTCCTGTAATTCTATAACTTTACTTGAGCTAGCCTATCCATTCTAGTGCAAATACCATATACAGTGGTGTGAAAAAGTGTTTGCCCCCTTCCTGATTTCTATATTCTTTGCATGTTTGTCACACTTAAATGTTTCAGATCATCAAACAGAATTAAATAGTAGACAAAAATAATACAAGTAAGCACAAAATGTAGTTTGTAAATGAAGGTGTTTATTACTAAAAGGAGAAAGACTGACACAGCTGGTCTCAGTCAAGAAATCTCTTAAACACGACCTGCCTGACAAAGTGGAATAGATGAAAAGATCCTCAAAAGCCAGACATCAAGCAATGAAAATTCAGTAGCACTGAATCTTAACGTGGCTGAGTGAATGTACGGAAACCAGCTTGGACTTTCCCACCAACTGAGTTCAGCGAAAGTGGGAAACAGCATCTCCAGTTCCATCTCCCTGTTCATCAGCTTCCCTCAGGGCTGTGTCCTGAGCCCACTGCTGTTCACGTTGCTGACACGTGCATCACATCATCAGATGACATAACAGTGGGACAATAACGACCTGTCCTACAGAGAGGAGGTGAATTAATTGGTGGACTGGTGCAGTGTTATGAATCTGTTCCTGAATGCCGAGAAGACCAAGTCCTCACCATCAGACCTGAACTCTTCAAAACACAGTGCTACCTGTGTGAAAAAACGGTAATTTTTTCACATAGGGCCATATAGGTTTGATTTTTTTTTCACTTTCATGATAAACACATTTATTTAGAAAATGCATTTTGTGTTTATTTGTGTTATCTTTGTCAAACACCTTTTTACTCTTTGCTATTTGTATTTTTGATCTCACCAGTTAAACTTTTTAATTAAGACTTGGTCAAAGAAGGAAATTTCTCAATTATACTAAAGAAATAAATAAATACCCAGAGAAAAGATACTTTAAATCAGGACATGTGTCTCCATTTTCTGCTGCCACCTGAGGCTTGGCAATGTGACAGCCTATCGCGATTTGTCATCTGCATTTCTTGCTGCTGGAAGCAAACAGTGCACTGGTTAGATCAAATGGAAACACAGTGAAGAAACAGGAGAAGCAGAGTTGTAAACAATGAAAGGAAGGTGCACAACTCAGGGTACTCGTTTGTGCACATCTTAATCTAATATTTTCTCCTTAATAACCATTACCAAAACAAATCTTTCTGGTATTTAAATAATAAGATTGATGGTGTTGAGTAGGGTTTGTTTTCATGGTTTCTTTGTCTCCATTCTTAAGTCATTATGACACGTTACAATGTGTAGGGTTTTGTCCATATAATATTAAATTGCTTAGCTAATTATAGGCCAATCTCCAAACTTCCTTTCATGTCAAAAATTATAGAAAGAGTAGTTGTCAAACAGATTGTCTGCAGAGAAATGCTTTATTTGAAGAGTTTCAGTCAGGTTTCAGAGCTCATCAAAGTACAGATTTAGTGAAGGTTACAAAAGATCTTCATGTGGCCTCTGACAGTGGACTCATTTCTGTGCTTGTCCTGTTAGACCTCAGTGCACCATTCAATGCTGTTGACCATAAAATTCTATTAGAATGGTTAGAGGATTACAGGTACTGCGCTGCAGTGGTTTGTATCATATCTATCTAATACAGAGGTTCCCAAAGTGTGGGGCCCACTGAGCCATTGCAGGGGGGGAACAGTGCTTGGACACTGCTAGCATAATTGACAGGTTTTTGACGGGGCTCCCACGCAAACGCAAAGCAAGAGATGAAGCATCGCCAAATATGTTTCTAAACCAACTTCATTTCAAAGCCAAAGACTAGAAAATATGGTGAAGCATGTCTTCCCTTTGGCTTCACCTCATCAGAAGACATAGCATACATTTTCACTGCTATGCTGATGACACCCAACTCTATCTATCCATGAAGCCAGATAACACACACCAATTAGTTCAACTGCAGGAATGTCTTAAAGACATAAAGACCCGGATGGCCGCTAACTTTCTGTTTCTAAATTCAGATAAAACTGAGGTTAGTGTACTCGGCCCTGAAAATCTTAGAAATATGGTATCTAAGCAGATTCTTACTCTGGATGGCATTACCTTGGCCTCCAGTAATAGTTTGAGGAACCTTGGAGTCATTTTTGACCAGGATATGTCCTTCAATGCACATATTAAACAAATATGTAAGACTGCTTTCTTCTATTTGCACAACATCTCAAAATTAGAAATATCCTGTCTCAGAGTGACGCTGAAAAACTAGTTCATGCTTTTAGTACTTCCTGTTGAATCCAGAATTCAAAATCCTGCTCTTCACATACAAGGTCTTAAATAATCAGGCCCCATCTTATCTTAATGACCTTGTAGTACCATATCACCCTATTAGAGCACTTCGCTCTCACACTGCAGGCCTACTTGTTGTTCCTAGAGTATTTAAAAGTAGAATGGGAGGCAGAGCCTTCAGTTTTCAGGCCCCTCTTCTGTGGAACCAGCTTCTAGTTTGGATTCAGGAGACAGACACTATCTCTACTTTTAAGATGTGGCTTAAAACTTTCCGTTTTGCTAAAGCATATAGTTAGGGCTGGATCAGGTGACCCTGAATCCTCCCTTAGTTATGCTGCAATAGGTGTAGGCTGCCGGGGGATTCCCATGATGCATTGAGTATTTCTTCTTCAGTCACCTTTCTCACTCATTGCATAGACCTCTCTGCACTGAATCATATCTGTTATTAACCTCTGTCTCTCTTCCACAGCATGTCTTTTATCCTGTCCTCCTTCTCTCATCCCAACCAGTCGCAGCAGATGGCCCCGCCCCTCCCTGAGCCTGGTTCTGCCGGAGGTTTCTTCCTGTTAAAAGGGAGTTTTTCCTTCCCGATGTCGCCAAAGTGCTTGCTCATAGGGGGTCATACGATTGTTGGGTTTTTCTCTGTATGTATTATTTTGGGGTCTACTGTTCTTGTGATTTGGTGCTGAATTCAAAATTGGTATTACTTATGGTGCTTCTTTTGAGTTTCCGATTAGTCATGCTAATTATTTTAACTTTCAGAGAAAATGTGCTCATTAAATATTCTTTCACTAGAAGGTAATTGCTTAATTTGATATGATGTAGCCTAACTATTCTATAAAGTGGCATCATCTATGGCAGGGGTCAGCAACCTAATTCAGCTCTGAGATTAATTGAGCCTCAAGGCTCAATTAGCTGGGGACAAAAAGGTAAATTCCCTAAAAGACACATTTCTTGGTTTGTTCTATGTAACTATTGTATATGCATGGAAACCCTGTCTCATTATTGATCTTCTTCTGTAATCGGTTCAATCACAAGTCATTTTCAGGCCATGTTAATTCTTCAGGGACACCGTTGTCCACGTATTGATCCTCTGAACTCATGAATGCTTTAACTGCTATGCCATTCTGTGCACTGCAGCTATGTTTCATCAGTGGTGAAGGACAATTATAGGGTTTGAGTGTATGGAGAAGATAAACTGGTTGGTATGGGTCACTGATAAACCTTTTTTTTTAGCTTCAA